AGAACCACTTCTAACTTTAAAAACAACAACAATTCATTGTTATGGAGATAGGAACAGCCAAGTTATCGAACTCCCTCCCAAGGGAGTCAGGATGAATCTGACCTCACTGGACTTTTGGTATGTGGTCAAACCCATATTTATTGTCATAGCTTGCTTTTAAAAACTATTTTAGTTTGTGCTCAAAGTTTTCTTTCTTTTCTCTACCTATATTGTGATTTCATAGGGCATGCTTTTGGGCCCTGATGAGGAGAATAGTGATTCATAAATACTTTAAATAAATGATTCACTACTTCTTAGAAGCCTTTATGAATCACTTCTCTGCTCACCAAGGATATCAGAGCAGTGGATGGATATTGTATGACTGTCACAACCCATCTTAAGTCAGGATGTCCAAGCAGTGTTTCTTGACCTACCAGTTGAAATATTTTAAGATAAAACTGTGGCCAACTAACTGACGTAATATTTTTGTAATGACCATGTTGAGCACAAATCAAAGTAGATTCAAATGGTACAGAGAATCATACACATGGAGGATCCAAAATAGCATTTATGTTGGACTTACACATTGCTTGCAGCACCCAACCTTTAAAAAATAATAGTAGTAAGCGATTGTTGCAAAATGTCTAAGACATTGAGTTGATTTTCAGGAAGTCTAAAGTTCAAATTTGGCCTCTTTCATAAATTTACTAAATAGCCACAGTTCCTTTCTTCAGATTGCAACATCTAGCAGATTTAGCCACCATAGCTACCATAGCTGGAGGGAGCGGAGTCCTGGGAATTATTGTCCCAACCATTTCTGGAGGAGCAGTGTTGTCTAGCCTTGTTCTGACCCCCTTTTTATCTTCAGACAGCTTCTGTAAGTGATAGAGATAGCTCAGCTTTACAGTGGTAGTTGCTTGTACTGTATTTAATCATTCTCTTGATAAGTCAGGAAAAAATACGACATCTTAGGATTTTTGGTTACTTTCTTTTAACAGCAAACTGAGATAAGCACAGGGTAGGTTGGTTCACACTGTATTTCAGACCCTAGTTTTGTGCTGTTACCCTGTTTCCCTGAAAATAAGACCTAATCTGAAAATAAGCCTGAAAATAATATGATTTTTCAGGATGCTCGTAATATAAGCTCTACCCCAAAAAGAAGCCCTCGTTAAGTGCTCTCCACCACTGTGTAGCAACCAGAAGATGACATGACTGTATTTGAATAAACATAGATTGTTATACATAAAAAATGAAAAATCCCCTGAAAATGCTTTTTTTTAAAGAGCAAAAATTAATATAAGACCCATGAACAATCCCCTGAAAATGCTTTTTTTAAAAGCAAAAATTAATATATGACCCTGTTATTTTCAGGAAAACATGGTAGAATAAATTATTTCTGCAAGGGGGAAACATGGTAGAATAAATTATTTCTGCAAGCCCCAACTTACAAACCTCATTTGGAGGGCAAATGTAAGTTGAAGGTTCTTTCTTCAGATAAGGTGGCAAAAGTTGTTTTGTGGTAAAGGAGAAAATAGCTGACCAAACACCAGGCTCCTCTCTGTAATGTAGCACCAAAGTATGGATCAGCATTAATGGTAACTTGTCTGCTCTGAGATCCCAACTGGATTTCAGAGCAGACAAGCTTGCAACTAGAAAGTACTTACAGAGCAGTAGCTTCCCTTTGGCCCTTTGCACATCTGTGGTGATGGTAACAATGGACAGGACTGGATATGCTGTATGTACTGTAGCCCTAACTCCATCTCCTAGCTTCGTTGGCTAGCCCATTCATTGGATGACTCAAGCCCTGTTGAACTGTTCAGTCAAATTTTGTCCATGAAGGGAAACGGAGATGCACACTGCAACTCCACCCATTCCATTCACAACCTTCCCGTGCTTACTGGGAATGTCTGAAGGGAAAGAAGGTATTCATTGTGCTTTTAAAGAATATAACCAATGCAGAAATGAACTTGTAATTATGAAATTATGAAGGTGTTTTATTTCTTTGCATGCTTTACCCTTTTCAGCTTCAAAGGGCTAGGCCAGGTCTCCTGCATGCATGGCACTTAGTCATATTTTGCGGGGTCCTAGAAAGGGTGTGTTAATAGTGTGTGTGCGTGTGTGCATGTTGCTTAACTAGCAAAATGCTTGACATTGCCATGTATGTGTGAGAGACAGTGATGAGAAGCTGTGTGTTTCACACAGATACATTGCATGCCACAGAATTTTCTGTCAGTAAGCATTGGGGTGAATGGTGGGCAAAGGTTGTCTTAGGGCAGTACTTAACTCTTCTCTGTATAAATGGGTAGCAGCCGTTCATTTACACATGAGAAGATCAAGGGTCATGGTGCTTGCTAAACCTAGAGCTGTTATTGATTATTTCAGTGGCTGGGCCAGGAATCAATTTTTCATCCAGTATCTAGGCTTCCTGACTCTGTTGTAAAGAACTCAGTAGCTGAAATCCTGCCGCTTAGCATGGAACGTTGAAACTAGAATGGCCCATTGACTCTGTGGGGATTTGGAGAGTCTACTCCTCTGCACGTTCTGTTGATGGGATGGGCCTACAATAATTGTGATTTACTATGCTAAGCAATAGGATTTCAGCCATTGAGAAAAAGAGGAACCCTATCTGAATAGTCCGGCTCCTTCACCTGCATTGCTGTGCCTCGGGTTTAATTTCTCAGGCCCCATAGGGTGTGATGCAGTGTTCAAAACTAGTCTCCCGAGGAGACCAGATTAAAAGCAGATGATTAGTTGGCCCTTCTTATCCTGTGCCTGTGTGTTTAGAAAGAAAAATATTTGCAAGGTTACTTTGAAGGTGATCTCCAAATATACCAATAGCATCTTACATCTGTACTTAAGATAATAGTCTCTGCTGCAGCTGTCTAATAGTGGCTTTATTTCTTCTGTGGTATAATACATGAATTAAACTTGAAATGCATTGCCCATATGCAGTGGTTGGCTTGTCTTTACTTTTCTGTCATACTGTAATGGCTTTTAAACCAGCCTCTTACTAGGAATGTGAACACAAACTTTCTCTGTGGTGGTTTGGGCACTTTCTAGATTAGATCTGACTTCTGAACTACTACTTTTAAGTATGGGTTACATGTGTGAGCGGTAGGTCTTTTTAAGACACATTGGAGCATGCAATCCAGTGGCTTTATCACATACTGTTGGCTTTGGTATCATAAGTGTTGCAGCCACACTGGCCATTGGTGAAATGTTGAGAAATAATGACTTGTGTATAGGAGGGGTACATCTCAAGAGGGTGATGTATGTTGGCTTGTCAGGGGGATTAGAGAGAACAAGCCTACAGAAAATAGTATTAGGTGTCTCAAAACCAATTTATTGGTGTCTTGACACCTCTCCTGACAGAAATTTCTGCAAAATGTTTTAACTAATCCCCTTGAAGAAGGCCTTAAGATATTGACAGGCTGGAACACACCAGGCTTTTAAAGCAATACATATCATTTTATAGTATTTTGAGGCCTGTCTCCCTTACTAGCAAGTTCTAATTGGATGCTCTTGAGTTCCTTCTTCCTCTGAGAGATCAAAACTTGCCGTATATGCAGAGCAGCTTTGGGGCCTGTGTTATGAAAGCTACAGGAAATCCTGGGGAAAGAGCCAGATTACTCAAGGTTTCCCCAATGACTATACTTTTGGTGATACCATTTTTAAAATGCTCTCATATATTAACAAAACTGCCTGCACTGTTCTCTTGTGGGAGTGTTTATCCAACCAGCTAAAGCAGAAGTGTAATCTCATTTTGTGGGGTTTTTTTTAACCTTAAAAAGCCAAAATGAAACTTCTGTATTCCACTTTGCTGAAATTTCTTAGTAATAAAAAGCTTTTCTTAGTAATAAAAAAGATCCTGCAGAACTGCCATGCCGTGTTTGAAATGTAGTTGCTTTAATGGCTCAAATTAAAACTCATTGGCTTGATTTTGCAGAATTCCTATGAGGAAGATTGGAAAAAAACTGATACTCTAGATATTTGCAACAACATATCCCAGACACTTATAGCCCAGCCAGTGGTAAGAGATAAAGGTACAGTGGTCCCTCGCTTAACGATTGCCGTGCATTACAACAAAATTGCTGTATGATGATCGGGTACAATGGTGCCTCACTTAACGATTGCCCCGCGTTTCAACGAAATTGCTGTACGATGATCTTTTTCGAAACAATGGTCTAAATAGGGTTTTTTCGAAAACAATGGTCTAAATTGGGTTTTTTCGTTTTGCGACGATCGTTTCCCTGCTTCGGGAACAGATTCTTCTCAAAACAATGTTTTTTAACAGCTGCTCGGTGGTTTCAAAATGGCCACCGGGTGCTTAAAATGGCTACCCACTGTGTTTAGGGACGGATTCCTCGCTATACAGGCAGCGAAAATGGCCGCTGTATGGAGAATCTTCGCTGGATGGTGAGTTTGTATCCGATTGGAACACATTGAACGGGTTTCAATGCATTTCAGTGGGGTTTTAAATTTCATTTTACAATGTTTTCGCTGAACGACGATTTTCCTGGAACGGATTATCGTCGTTAAACGAGGCACCATTGTAGTTGCAATCCAAAAACTTGTGGAAATTTTCAGTTGCCGATTCTTCGTGTTGAGCCTGGAGAAGATATCTTTAGTTGTAATCCAAAAGCTTATGGAAGTTTTCAGTTGCCGGTTCTTCGTGTTGAGCCTGGAGAAGATATCTATGGTGGCAGCATCTCTCTACAGCTTTCCCAGGCTGTATAATTCACTGATGATTATTAAAAGCTTTTTCTTTTTGATTTTAGGGAAGGAATGTTATTCACAGTTGCGCTGAATGGTCATCAGTGTCCACATTTTTAGTATGGTATTCTATTATATTTAAACATTTTAATGTTTGTGTATGTAGCATTTTTAGCTTTTTAAATACTGCCTTTCAATGATGTAAGCCGCCTTGGGTCCTTTCTAAAGGAGAAAGACAGGGTGAAAATATTTTAAATAAATAAATAATCACAGTTGTGTCCTAGGTAGAACGAAAGAAAGCATGACTGAATGTAAGAGATGGAAAAAAGGTAATGTGCAATAAATACTCGATTTCTCATCTAACCACTAACTCCTTTTTTAAAGCCAGTATTAATAACAGTTGTTTTCTTATTCCTTTAATACTGTTCTAGCTCCATAATCACAACCAGTATGCCTTTAAACCTGTAGTTTGAGTATGGTATTCTTTGCCTCTCAAGGAGTGGGCTATGCCCATAAAAGGTCATACCAGATGAAACTGATTAGTCTGAAAGTTGCCACAAGATTTTTCTTTTTTTTTTAAACCTCTTGAAGCCGTACATTGTATCAGGAAGTACTTTGATTTCAATAGATGTTTGTTTCTTTTCTTCCTTTGTGAAAGAATTGAGAATGTTTTCTGCTTACATTTTTTTTAAAATCAGGTTTTAAAAATAAGTATTTTTTTAAAAAATCAGAGTGATTTAAATCATTATTTACTTTTTTTAAAAAATCCATTTTTATTTGAATTGTCCAAAAAAATCCTATTTTTAAAATTTAAATAGTGATTTAAATCAATTTGATTGAAATCAGATCTACCCTATAGAAATCCTGAAATCCTGTGGTGTAACTCTGGAGGCATATAGGCTGTGAAATTTAAATCAATTTGATTGAAATCAAGTCTACCCTATAGAAATCCTGAAATCCTGCGGTGTAACTCTGGAGGCATATAGGCTGTGATGACATCAGCCACGGACATTGATATTTAATTTTGAATTTACTATCTCTCTCCCCCCCCCAATTCCTTTGGGAGCCTCAGAATGTGGGGAGGGGAGAAGCAGCCTTCAATAACTGAGAATTATCAAAGCCGATTCAACTGCTGGGGATTTTTGGAAATTAAAGTTTGCTCCACCCCTGTTCCAAGGCTCCTAAAGGCTTCTCCAAGTCAAAAGGGATCTCTAGAGTGCCTCACAACCTGAATGGTGGGAAGGGGATTGGAAACGTTATAGTTCAAGATCTGTGCAGTTCTACCAACAGGCTTCCAGCCTTAGAGTCATAAAATAGTCCTGTGCCTTGTGGAAGCATTGGTACCTTTCATCATCTGAGTACATGTGCAATAGCGTGACACATCTAGATTGTTTACTAGCAGTTACACAGTACCTTGTGATTAACTTAAAGCGCAGTAGATCATGTCTTTATCCTTGGACATTTCTCACTAATCATGGAGGCCCTGATTTTTTATGTCATTGGGCTTGGAACTAGTTTCACTTCTCAACCAGCAGAAATAAAGGGAAGAGAGAATGTGGCCTGATTTGATTTAGTTAGTAGATACTTTAGTAATGTAGCACTTTGCCCAGTATTGTTTCTTAGTTGAATGAATCTGGATTCCTATTCAGGTTTTTGAGAGTACAAGAAAAATAGTTTCCTGTTGCATTGTGTGGCTTAAAAATGTAGTTTTTCCATGTCCTTTGCCACTGGAATATCCTGGGAAACAGTTGTCTTTGAACAGGGGATGGCTCTCCGGGAGCACAGACAGGATAAGATTTGCAATCAGAAATTCCCTCCCTCTTTTCTTTGTTCCCTGAGCAGGAATGTCAGACCAGTAGCCTTGCAACTCCCCCTCATTTGCTGCTCTGCTCTGGCTGCTTTTCCAGAGGAAAAGCAAGCTGTCAGCAGCTGTGGCTTCTGCTTACTTGAGTGCTGTGGTTCATTTTCCTCCTCAATCACCTTTTCACTCTGGTAATAGAACAGGCCTGCAAATGGAGGAGGCAGTCTTCCCTCTTCTGTTTCATCTGCAGTGTTAATTGTGTATAAAGGAATTCTTGGGGGCTTAAAATCGAAGAAATTGGGCTCTAAGAGGTGTCTGTTCTGATAGGTTTTCTTTTAATCAGGATCTGAACACAAAATTGAAGTTATTTTCAATAACATTGAATTTTCAAACTCCCACTCCAAAACATAAGTCTAAAACATGGCCAGGACACACAACGACTAGAGAAGTATGCACTTCTTCAAACTTATCTTCTAACCAGAAGTCTGTCTCAAGTATCAAGTGCTTCGAAATTTATTTAGCTTATTTGAAGTATTTGTTCAATGCCCTATGACCCAAGTGTCTTTCTTATTAGTAGGTAAAATATTTTATACTGATGTGCTGAATGATAGAAAGGCTTTCATTCTCAACATCATTTCCCCCCTAAAAACTAACCAGTGTGATTCTTAATATTACTTTAGAAATATGTCTGTTTTAAAATCTTTTGCACTTTATCACCAGATGAAATAGCGTTGATAAAACACAAGAGATTTTAAAGTGGACGTGTTTCAGTCAGAGATGTAGCTGATTGAACATGCAGCTTATTATATGTATCATGTGGACAGAGAGTTGAATTGCATTTGCAGGAGAGTCTTTCAGGCATTTATAGTTAGGCATTCTTAGGAATATGTACTGAATATAGAATGATTTTGGCACTGCAATGTGTTAGATTAAAATTCCAGTTAGGAAATAAGCTTTGGAATAGTGGATAGAATGTGTGTATTTGACATATACATATTTTTATTTGGAGCCAGGGGCTCCATGTTTTTTGTATGGCTTTTTGTTTCCTGGCTGGGAATCAACACTGTAATAATAATAAAAGTTATTTAATTGCTTGATTTAATATCTATGATGCACTGGAGACTGGTTGGAGATACAGAAGACCATATATGCCACAGGGATTCCACTGGATACAAGGAACAATTTATTTAGAAAGAGACATTTCTGTACCCCTCTAATTTTGCAGTCTTCACCAAAGGGGCATGACATGTTCCTCTTCATACTCCCAGAGAGAATATTGAATATTAATTTCCTTTAGTGGTCTTTTGACATGATACACACACACTCATGCTCAGGTGGGGGTTTCTTTTCAGGGAGGGGTCATGAGTGAACCGTACACTTAACTCCAGTGTCCTCACTGTTTCGGACGTGATCACCTGATTAGAACTTAATCTCCCAGAAAGAGAAAGCAACATTCATATAATATAGGTTGTCATGGATAGGGAAATATTCTTCTCCCACCAGTAAGCACAGAAAGGGATGAAACTGGTTATATTATGTCTCCCTGGGCACAGTTGGACATAGGGTACAAGTAACAGTCAGAGGACGTCTGCCTTCCCCCTGCATAGAGAGTAACTAGTTAATACAACTCCATTGTTTATGCAAAGATGAAAGGACTATGTTTTAATCTTCCATCTCTGTAATTGTGTTGAATGATTTGCAAGAGATCGCTCAGATCTCTATGCTGAAGTCTTGGTTTTGGGAGCAAAATATAAGCTGTACATACTAACCTAGTTTCTCTTGCCTGAGCTGCAAAGCATTTTTGATATATTCTTACACAGAGAAATCTCAAGGGATGACAGTCAAAGCTGCCTGGAGACAATTCATGGCTGTATAGCTCATAATCAATAGGTTCCTTGACCCAGTACAGTACCAGCAAAGGTTCATAGGGAGGCTCTATTGCCACTATAGTTTTGTGATGCCCCAGCACATTTATTGTGGGACTGTGTGTATTTGCATGAAGGAACAGAGGAAAAAAAAAAGATGTAAACAGCATGGCCAAAATGCAAGCGGGGTGCTGTGTAATACTCGTAGGAATGTCAGGGTATATTCTTGCATTTCATTGTCTTCTGTTTATTTTTCCCCCATCTCTGTACTGAAGTGTGAGAGAGTATATGATACATATAATATGGTAGTTGAAGATAGTACTTCATTCGTGAATTGTGAAGTGGGTTGTAATATGTTAAAACATATGCCACAGTGGAATACCCAGTATTGTGTACTAGGTAGAGTGACAGACTACCCTGTTTCCCCGAAAATAAGACCTAACCTGAAAATAAGCCCTAGTATGATTTTTCACGATACTCATAATATAAACCGTACCCCAAAAATAAGCCCCAGTTAAGTGAAACCCTGCCCTCCACCATTGTGCAGCAACCAGAAGAAAATGACACAACATGACTGTATTTGAATCAATGTAGATGGTTGTGCATGAAAAAACATCCCCTGAAATAAGCCCTAATGGGGTTTTTGGAGGAAAAATTAATATAAGACCCTGTCTTATTTTTGGGGAAACACGGTAAGACTCTGGAGAACAGGGTTTGAATCCCCATTCAGCCATGGAAGCTCACTGTGGGTGTGGAACTGGTAAAACCACTCCTCAAGTACCTCACTTACTTTGAAAGCTCTATTCCCAGTCATTGGAAATCAGTTCCAGCTTGATGGGACAAAACAACATGCTACAATAACTCTGTTAAGGCTGCCCAAGGTCATTTTCATTAGTGGAGAGCAAAATTCTTTTCAAGCCAATTCTAAGTGTTTGCCTTGGTTTAACCAAACAACTTTGACAAATTGTTTCACCTTTCCCCACTCTTGTTTTTTAGGCCCTATGAGAAAAAGGGAAAGCTAAGGATGCTGGAGCAGAACAATGGATTTCTCCTTCTCTTTCATGCAAGGGATCATGGGAAACACAATTCAGCAACCACCTCAACTCATTGACTCGGCTAACAACCGCCAAGAGGATGCTTTTGATGCCAGCAGTGACATCACTGAAGATGGTAGACAGACACCGTATGAAGCAGCCCTTGCCTTGCAGCAAGGTTTTCAGTATCCTACACCCACCACAGAGGACCTTCCACCCCTCATTAATGGATTTCCACCAATCAGCATGTATGAGCCCCAAGCCAAATACCAGTCCTATAGTCAGTATCCCAATGGCTCAGCCAATGGCTTTGGCACAGTCAGAAACTTTAGCCCACCTGAGTATTATCAAATGGAGAACTCTAACCTAAGGCCCCATGACCTTCTGGAGAAACCATCTCCCCCACAGCCTCCACCTCCTTCAGTATCTCAGACGGTGATTCCAAAGAAGACTGGCTCACCAGAAATCAAATTAAAAATAACCAAAACTATCCAGAACGGCAGGGAATTGTTTGAATCCTCTCTGTGTGGGGACCTTTTAAATGAAGTACAAGCGAGCGAATATGCTAAGTCAAAACATGAAGGAAGAAAAGAGAAGAGGAAAAAGAGTAGTAAACATGACTCTTCCCATTCGGAAGAGCGCAAGTCACATAAAATCCCAAAACTAGAGCCGGAAGAGGAAAACGTAAGTGAAGCAATAATTTCAGCCTTTTTTTTTTTTTACTGATCTCACAAGGCAGCTATTCCTGCAACTTTCATATTCATTTTGTTTTTCCTTTGTTTGCCTGCTAACAGATTGCCAAAGTAATCAGACATAGCAATTAAGAACCTACTAATATGAATCTGTTGTTTTAAATAAAATATTATCTTCATGGATTGCCAAAGAAATCCAGATTTTGCTTTAATAGTAAAGTGTGTAGCTTATCACAAGGGATCTGTCAGAATCTTGAGGTTCTGCCAGAGTTAAATTGTACTGTTGGTGAGACAAATGTAGCTTTCAGTGATGTTAATTGCAGCTAAGTGAATTGATAGCTACTGTATCATGTTTTCTCTTGACAAGAAAGTTTGGAATCTGTAGAGGAGTGGTAAAAGATCCTTTCTACTAACAACCAGACATCCAAAAACTGAGTCTTCAGCATAATAGAGTTGGGAGCATTCTCTTGCGAATCATTTTATACCATAGGTGAGATGAGAGATAAGACACAATCTTTCTGTTCTTTTAAAAACACTTTAAAGTTGGAGTAAAGGTCCCTGACAGTCCTAACATGTCGCAGTAAGCTAGGATTTTGAGGGAACTGACAATAAACTGGGTTTTCTGGCTTGTCAGGAGAGAGACAAGCCAACATGTGGTGCTTGGTTATCATGATAAGTACATGAATCAAAGCTTCACTGCATATTGTGAAAATATAATGTACTGTATATACATCACCATATTCTTGTGGCATAGAGTAGCCACATGTAATATGAATTTCTGACTTCTGTGCAACAGTCAGTGAGTATAATTATTAAAGTAATCATAGAATAATGAAATTGGAAGGGCCCTAAAAGGCCATCAAGCCTAACCACTTGCTCAGTGTAGGAATCCAAATCAAAGTATATTGGACAGATGGTTATCTAATTTTCTGTTGAATGCCTCCAGTGTGAGAGTGCTCACCACTTCCCCAGGTAACTGGTTCCGTTGTTGTACTGCTCAAACAGGAATCTTTTCCTGACATTCAAGAAAAATCTGGCTTCCTGTAACTTTAATCCATTCTTATGCATCGTGCACTCTGGGATGAATGAAAACAGATCCTGTGTAAGATCAAGAGGCAACGTAAAGGAAAGAGATATTTTGTAGAGAGCCAAATAAATTTATGCGGCATATGATGCATGTTTACCCAGAGTTTCATTGCATTCTTGGGACTTATTTCCTGATAAATGTGCATGGGATTGAAATCCTAGATACTTTACTTATTTTGTGGAGTTATCCTTGTACTCTTGTCAGCATTGCATTTCTGAAGCACATATCTCGGTGTGAAAGGCTTGTTTGGAAAGTTGTGTCTTCACACCCTTCCTGAAAGCAGCAATGTGGATAGTGGTTGCACCTTCCACTGCACAGGAGAAAATCCTTTAGCATAAAACTGTCAAATGGCTCTCGACAAGTAATATTATGAAGACCTTAACATCTTGGTAGGATCACAGTAAAATTGCCAGTCCCTTAGACAATCAGGTCCAAAGTCATTTAGGGCTTTAAACATTAAAACCAGCATCTTAAATTGCGCTCAGGAAGCAGTTGGTAAAAAGTACAGGTCTTTTGATATCAAAGCAACATGATCACAGTTTTATGCATGAGTTTGCTACTCAGCTGCCTCATTTTGAGCAAAACAGGAGCTCCAGGAAAGCTCTTCAGGAATAGCCCTGCATAAAGTACACTGCAGTTGTTAAAATGCAGTGTTGACAACTTGATTACTTTGTGTAGTTTGCTTAAAATGGATCTTGGTTTTTTTCCCCATCATTGCTGTTAAGAGTGCAGTCCAGTGGACCATGATGAGTCATAGTGTATTTCACAATGATTTCCTTGCGTAGCCATCCAGGTTCTGTTTTGTACTCCCACATGCTTCTGTTCAGTATTTGCATGCAGAACTGGAAGCATTCCACTGGTCCTCTGCAAATGTGCCTTGCAATTCTTTGCTTTATTCTTGGTAAGCATTTAAAGAGCTAGAAATGGGATACAGTACCTGGATTTGAGCTACTTTGGGTCTTTTGATAATTAGCTCCCTGCTTTTTTAAATGGATAACCCACTTTCATACCATCTCAAAATACTAGCTTTGGAATATCCAATCCATTAAAAAGTTATTAGGCATTGGCTGATAATCGGTAAATGCTGGAAGGTCCCAGTTTTTCAGATCCTTCCAACCATGCATTCATAGGCTCGCCTTAGGCAAACTACACCTCAATCATAGAATTGCTAACAGTGATGGTTTTGGTTTGTTTTATGTAGAATTTGAGCAATTAATCCAACTATCACTGGGAGCCAATAGGTGTAGGGGATAATGTTGGATTAGGGCCAATCTCGCTTGGCCATGGAAGCTCTCTGGAATATGGCAGTGATGAATCCATCTTATGTACTCTAAAACTTCTAGTAGGTTCACCATAATTGGGAAGCACCTTCACAGCACATAACAGCAGCAGTTCTCTAGTTATTGTTGATACCTCTGCTCATTTTACTTCTTTAAAAAAAATTAGCAGGTGGCAGTGTTGAGTTGACCTTAGCAGGATTCTTTAAACAACGAGAAGAAAAGTTTATGTATGCACTATGTTCCTTCAGCAAACTGTCTCTCCTGGCCTAACGGATGAGATTAAACAACCTTTCGGAAGTGAGCTTGTGAAGCATTCCAATGGGAGAAATCCAGCATGAAACATGTGCTTTGAAAAGCTTGCAATATACTTTTCCTTCTCCAGTATCATTAAATTGAATTAGCCTTAATTGTCTCTTTACTTACTCACAGCGTATACATTTATGTTCTGTTTGTTGCCTTTGTCAAGATGCCTTCATTCCTCCTTGCCTTTCTCTGCAGAGGGTTGGGGAAGGCAAGGAAGAGGCAGGCCATAACCTGGCCTTTCAAGGTGAGCCCCACCCTCTCTCTTTCCCTGTGTGGGAAAAACAAATCAGACTTGGCTAACACTTCATGGAGCCAGGTAAACTGTGATTCATCTCGCTCCAAGCAGGGCTCATTGAGTATCTTGAAGCATTGTCTCAGTGCACAGCTACCCAGAAGAACATAGTGCCAGAAGGAGGAATCTTATTTTGATGCCTCAGAGTTTGGAAAGGTTGGCAAGTGGAACTGAACTGGGTCTGTGACGTTGCGGTGCTTCATCTCTTCCCTGGTATCTGCATTGTTGTCAAATAGAGGTGAAGGCTGAAAGAGAACTTGTGGCAATATCATAACAAAATTCTCATCTCTACCCTCATTCCTGGCTAGCTGACCAGCCTGGCTGCAAATGAAAACATAATGATGCACAATGACTACAGTCTACCTGAAGGAATGCTTCCCTGGCTCATGTAATTGGCTTGGTTTAGACTCCACCATGCTTACAGTCAAAATCAATGGGGTTTAAGCTAGCCGTGAATAACTTGCAGATTGATTTTAATGGGGTGAAGGGTGGAGAAGTTTACATCCAATCTGTTGTATTTGCTTAATCCCAAGGAAGCTGGAAAATGTGTAGCTATACTAAACTCGATTTGTAGTGAACTGTATAATTCGGATGACTAAGGAGATTTAAAGCTAAGTGAAGTCAGCAAGATTTAGTTTGGAAGATAACTGTCATGGGAAAGTTTGAATTTAAAATCATACTTCTCACCTGCACACCACTAATACCTCCTATGTTGTTTCATATTACCGGCAAAATAACCCATCAATCTGCATGGAAGTATTTCTTGTAAAGAATGTTGGGTGTGTGTGAATGTAAGCATATAACCACTCAAAACTATAACTTGCCTTTTTCAATGACCTTTGCTCTCCCCTTCTGTAGCTCTTTGACGTCTGTACTGTAAATGTGAACTTGTTGAGCAGTTACGCATGTAGTGGCTCAAACTGAATTCTAGCAGAGCTCTAAAAGAGACTGAGACAGCAATGTTGGCTGTGTGATCCAATACTCAGTCTCTTCTGATTTGTTTCTTCTCTGTTTCTTCATGTTCTCTTTTGTTCCTTTTTTTAACTGTTCCCTTATTATTTCTTTCACAGAAACCCAATGAGAGGCTTAGCATACTGTCTGAAAAACCAAGGGAAGAGCCAGTAGTATTGGATGAAACCCCGGTTAGTATATATCAATACTCTGAAGGTCCGTCTCCAAAAAATGTCATGTTGTTGAAACTGGCTTGCTTCAAAACGAGCAGTTAGACCACTAGACTATTAAACTTTATTGGGAAAAAGTTTTGAGGTATTCATGGACAATGAGAGGTTGTAGGAGCCTAAGATTTTCCTGTCCTGCAGGTTTACTTGGTGCAAGCGTGAAATAGCTTCTGAGCAGATTCTCAGTGTTGTCAAAGGCATCCAGAACAGTGTAGAATGCAGTGAGACATTATGATGTCAGCCGTTTGCAAGGCTTATGTAGCCCCCATATTGTTATGTGTGCAGAGAAGCTTCAGTATTCTCTTCCCTCGTAGAAACTGTTTGCAGAGCAAGCAGCACCAAGCAACAACTAAATTAACTTGTGAATTCAACCCGTGAATATTGGAATGGTTAGCAAAGGACACTTCACTCTTAGAAAAGAAATTGGTTTGTCTGTGAACCGCCCGGAGTGGCCATTGGTCAGGTGGGCGATATAAAAATCAATCAGTCAAACAAACAAATAACATAAATCGCAGAGTTCGTGTTGTAAGAAAAAAAAGAGAGCTGTGTGTTTTGTTGTTGTTGTTGTTTTAAAAAAAAATGTGTTGGATCTTAATTCTGTATAACTCCGGTGAAGATGCAGAGAAACCTTAGCTATTGAAAACAAAGGCAAGTTGTCTCTTCTGTTCTCTCCTAAAGACAGTCAAGAAGGAAGAAAGTGACCTCAGCAACCCTAGGAGTATCAGCCAAGGATGAAGATCAGCGTAGGTCAGAGCAGGTGGAGGTTAGTCTAGGACACCTGAGAGAGTCCTTCTCTATCGACTCTCCGTACAAAGACAAGCATCTTCTTCAGTGTTAGCAGAGTCACACCCAGGTACCTCCAACAAAAACTAGGTACAAGAAAGGTGCATCAGTGTGTCTATTTCGAGTGAATGTTGATGGCAGTATTAAAGCTTCAATCATAACTTTCTACTTTTAGAGGGAAGAATGGTTCTCTTTCAGAAATAAATGATGCTTAACATCATCTTTTAAAAAAATATTGACCCATAAATTGGAGTGCCTTTTAAAAGTGACTTTATGAAAGATTTTAACTGATATTATCTCGCTGTTTGATTAAACACAGTAGTACCAGAAAAGAGGTTGAAAGAAGCTCCATTGAGTTTTATGTAGCATGCCTTTTTTTTTCTGCCCACACATCCAGAAAATAAATACAAGAGGGATGAAAAGATGCCGGTATTTGCTTGCAGGGTTTGTGTGGAGGGTCTGGTGGGTAACTTTCATTCTGGATTTACGAGTCATATTGTCTCATTATTCTTGTACAGGCCCAAGAGGAATCTCCTCTTCCAACACAAGTTGCAAGTGAAAGCAAGTTCGAAGTTGGGGATCTCGTCTGGTCCAAAGTGGGAACTTACCCTTGGTGGCCCTGCATGGTTTCAAGTGACCCGCAGCTAGAGGTTCATACCAAAATTAACACAAGAGGTATGGAAATCAAACCGCTGAGTGGGGTTTCTAGATTCTGACTACTCTTTGAGGACATGCTGTGCTGTGAACCGTTTCCCCTCTCTTCTTTTCTTTCCCATTTGGGAAGCCACTGACTCATGATCTTAGTTCACTTGGTGTCCCTAGAGGGAGGTGTCTCTGTGGGCCAAATGACTCAGCCTGTTGGGTCAAATGTGGCCTGCAGGGTGGAGGCTGCCAAACTTAAAACATATTGCAGTATTTGGTGTATTGCAGATTTTCTCCTACTGCACCAGAAAAGCTGTCATGTTTTTACTTTTCTTGCTACAACTCCATAAGGTGAGTCAATATTATATCCAGTTGGACCTGGAAGAGATGATGTGAAGAGATAGTGCCTGCTAAAGATGTTCCATACTGTGTTGAGTTTTTTTGTTTGTTTTTTTGGGGTTTTTTTTTTCCCAGTAGAAACATCAAATAAGCTTTTGACACCAAAAGGTCTAATCAATTATTTGTGATACAAACTTTTGTGAACTTTTGCCCACTTCATAAGGTGCACTTTTCAAAGACTCATTGCTGGTTTTATTCTTTAGCAGTCTTCCAAAAATTACTGTGGAATGCCTGTTGGTCTCCATGTAATTTTTCCTTGAGAAGCTTTGGAAAGGTGATTTTTGTTAGAATCTTGTTATAGAAGGGAAGAGAGGCTGTAGAGCTAACCATTGTTATCCAATTGGCTATGCTTCTAAGCTTGCTCAGTCCTCTCTCTGGCCACTGCTTAGATAACTGAAAGTGTGATCGAATGCTATCAGTTTGCAATTTAAGTTTATATATAGTTTGACCCAGCAAAAGTGATCTTCATGTTCGCTTCCCTTGAATCTCAGAGGGCAAATCTGCAACCATCCCATTGCAATGATTTGGAAGCCTTCATATAGTTAGTGTTTGACCTTGAACCTTGCAGATGTAACTCAACTTTTTAGGTAAAATAGAAGCAGAGTGATATATCAGGAGTTTTATGGGACTGAAGGGAAGCATCAGACAAGTCCAGCAGAGTGTATCACAGTATGTTGCAGTCCTGGTTCTACCCCTTCTCATATTGGCAGACACTACTTCAAGATGGCCTGTTCCATTTTCCAACAGGGTGCACATGGTTAGATCCATGTTTTCATAGGGCATGACACTGCATTGCACCACCGGTTAAAAAAAATGGTAAATTTTGAATTTCATTGCTGCAGTAGAAAATAGTTTGGGTGTGTATTCAGGAGAGTGGAAGAGGTTCACACTGAATGAATTTCTTAATGGGATGATTTATTTTAATTCCAGGAGCACGCGAATACCACGTTCAGTTCTTTAGCAACCAGCCTGAGAGGGCATGGGTACATGAAAAGCGGGTTCGAGAGTACAAAGGACGCAAACAATATGATCAGTTGGTGGCAGAGGCTGCTAAGCAAGCTAATCACTCTGAAAAACAGAAGGTATGTACCATCGGAAATGATACCATACACGTTAGCCGTGGGGTGAGAAAGTAAGTGTTTAAACATCAAGAGTGGTTGCATTGATTAGTTTGCTTTGATGTCCTGTTGGGATGATCTACATAGCATCATTTGTTTAATTTGCCCTTAATTTTATTGATACGTGGAGTTTTTTTTTCTGTATAGCTATTTAGAAATAACAAAGCAATATGCATGCACAATCCACGTATCACCTAAAATAATTTGGTGAGGATCCCTTGATGTTATTGGACTTGCTGAAGGTGCTTGCATCATGTGTAGGCACAATTCAGTAGCAATAGCATTGATTGCAGGGGTTTCAATTATCCTGTTCTGGAGTCTCCAACCCTAGATGATATCCAAAGACACAGTGCAATTGTTCAAGGACCTGGGATTGTTGGTAAGTGTAAGATGAGGCACAACGGAGATTTGAGGATCAGGATGACATGGGCCAACTGGTGAAAGAGCCTGTATGTCATAACGTCAGTGCATGTTGGCTTCTGGATTTTTGCTGATCCTTCCTTTTAATGTTTTCTGTGTTTTCTCAAGAACTTTCTTGCTGTTCTGTCAGCCCTGAGAGGTTCAGGACCTGTACTGATTTGATATGTTCAGAACAGAGGCATGCTTTAAAAGGGTAATTGTGGCCAAATGCTTTTATTGAGTGGGCATACTTTATACATGGAAATAAGCAGCTGCAATAAACCTTCTATTTATTTGCTTATCCCTAAGATTCGCAAACCGAGGCCGCAGAGAGAACGTGCCCAATGGGATATTGGCATTGCGCATGCTGAGAAAGCATTGAAAATGTCTCGGGAAGAGAGGATAGAACAATACACCTTCATCTATGTAGACAAGGAGCCTGAGGAGACTTTGTCCAAGGCCAAGAGGACTCCTGTGCCAAAGGCAGAGCCTAAAAAGACTCGCCGATCTAAACCGTCACCAAACCGCCAGCCGGAACAGGCCAGTGAGGTTTTGGCAGCATCCTCTCCATCCAATACCGAGGTGCGGAGGCACAGTCAGAGGAGGCAGTCGACTGTGGAGGAAGAACCGCCTCCTGTGAAAATACCATGGAAGACGGCGGCAGCCAGAAAATCCTTACCAGCATCAATAACTTTGCACCAGGGGACCTTTGACCTTCAGAAGTGTAATATGTCTCCAGTTGTTAAAATTGAACAAGTTTTTGCGCTCCAGAATGCTGCCGGGAATGGAAAGTTCATTGATCAGTTTGTTTACTCTACCAAGGTAAAGACACATAAGTTTCTATAAGAGAGCAGTATGTGCAGAGTGAATTAAGAGATTTGCTAATCCTGTCTGCTCAGAAGTAAGTCCCACTGAGTTCAGTGAGACCATTTTCCAATCATGCATGTATAGAATTTGGGTTGTGATTCTGTATGTTCAGCCTGTTTTTGAATGCTTTTTTTTTTCTTTTTCTTTTTTTTTTTGAGAATGCGTTTTTTTTTTCTTTTTTTGCAAGATGTGTAAAATATTTTTTTTCAGACCCTTTTGTTCTCACATTGTCTGAAAAAGTCCTGTACTCTCCAAAATGACTTTTAGGTCATGTGAACTCAGAAGTCCTGGGTGGTAACTGTCTGAGATTGTGAATAGCATCCTGAAGAATTAGCGGCTCGTCTCCCCAGAGCCTGTTTTGCATATTGATTAAAATGTATCAGCATCATCTCTCATACAAATGTTCAAGTGTTTGAAACTGCTAAAAGTACCTGTCAAACATTGGCGGCGGCAGAAAGCAGTCTGGTTGTTTGGCAGGCAAGTATCTTGCAATGCTATCCTTTCTAGTTTTGTTAAAGAGTAATTTGCAGGGCCAGGGTAATTGAGAGTAGTTTCTTTAATGCAACTGTAGGAAAGTGCAGTCTTCTAATTCTTGAATTGCAGCTCCCATCAGCCCTAAGGTAGCATAGGAGGTGGCAAGAAAAGCTGGGAATTCGAATTCAGCCTCACCAAAGGATCACATTTTGTCCTTCCTCCCATCCTTTAAGTCATCAAGTAACAGTACCATTCATTTTCTGCTGAATCACAATCTTAAACCAAACTATGTCTATCACTTTATTGGGTTAACAAGTGTCTTCACTTTCTAAGTAACTACTGAGCGTCCACAAACTTGCACAGGTCTTCGCTCATTTCTGACTCTTTCTTTGCTCTGTTTGAAAAGGAGCAGGGTGTTCCTGATTGGCTTTTGCTAGAAATCATAGTGGGCTACATGCCATTTGTCTGATCTGGCAAGTAGTCCTTAATTGGTCTATCTTTGAAACATGGCATGTGAGAACATAAAACTTTGTCTGGACTATACCACTGCAGGTTGCAGATAGTAGCTGACAGATTTTCTTTATCCATGCAATGTCTCTGTATACACCAGGGCTCTCTATAGTATTCCTGCTGCTTAACTGTACTCAAATCATTCTAACAAGCATATAGGATGCTGGACAGTTTTGGTCTTTTGTGCCTGGCTTAAATTCTTTCTTATGTTTTGTTTTGTATTTTTATTTCCATTGTGTTGTGAAGAAGAAAAACTTGGACTGTGTGTGAATAAAGTGCATATACAAGTGGGCACCCAGAAGCAGCAGACATACACAGATGCTACCACACACATACTTATTGCTCCCCACTGTTTCACAGTAGCATGTGCACATCCTTTCCAATAAGGTATCCCACATGCATACATGCAGTGGTCTCTGACGAATACATAGATACGTTTACAGCGTGTAGAAATGTGAAGTGGAAACAGGAAGGGCACACTTCTGTCTCCTCCTCAGCTTCCCAGTCTATGGATGCACTGATCACAGTCCAGTGGTATAGTTCTAGTGGATTCTAGAGTCTCTGCCAGATTAAGCAGTCCAGCTCCTCATGATGTTCCCCACTAAACGAAAAAGTGCTATATAACTGACCAAACTAAAATACTACTTCCTGGTCTCTGTGGACTCACACATATGGGGTATGCTGTACCTTCTCAGCATGTTCCAGAACCTTCCAAAGCTAATTAATAAGTTTTGGTGGGGGGTCCATCCACTCCACCTATCATGCATGCTCTTGATGCTCCCTGATGTCCTTCAGCACATTTCAGAAGTTCTTCAGCTTAACGTCTTGATCACAGTTTGTGTACCCTTCTATGTAACTCCCTTGTTTCCTCTTCTTCTCCCTTGTTGCTTCCCTTTAAAAAAAAGCTAGTTATTTTTCCCCATTGATTGTCACATGGCACCTTCCACCTTGTTTAAAAAATGTACCCACTGCAGGCCACTGACAGACACTCAAATGCTTCCTTTGCCTTGGGGAGGATCATCGTGCACAAACATGTATGCATTGCCTTATGTTTACTCCCCAAGGACAGAAATACTGTGATGCTTGTTGCAAGGCACTCCGTTGGGAAACGTCCCTCTTCTTTTCCAAGACCATGGCCAACCGGCAGCCTTTAAAATCAATGCCAATTACCAAAACACATGCACAACTATCCACTCCAACAGTGAAGGACAAGAAAGACCAATGAAACCATTAGAGGCTCAGATAGCATCACTTCCCTCAGTTCCAACAGGATTGGTTTTGAGGCCAATACAGCCTTCAGTTTTTCATCCTCTGATACAGCACAGTGAGACTAAGCCAAAACAAGGACCCAAGAGATCTTTAGGGTGGAGAGGAATATAATAAAAAAAGAGAAGAGACAAAAGGAGACCCTTTTCTTTAGCTTCCCCTGATGTCAGACCTGACATATTGATGCCACTGATTCCTTCAGGGGATCCATCTCTGATCAGGCTTTCACGATACTGACCTACCAACCAACACAACAAGCCTTGATATTTGAAGGGGAAATGCCTGACCTGGCCTCGCAAGATGACCTATCAAGTGGCCTCACCTCAACAAGACTGTAGAATCCCATTCCAGGGGTATTCTCTATTGCCTTTTTACTCCCCCAGCTCACTGTCAAGACCACTGTACCAAGAAGTTCACCAATCCCCCTGCTATCACAGATATTAGTACCAGTCCCCCTCTCATGGATGGGACAGGACTTCTCCAGGGAAAGATGAGCATGCCTACTCTCCTTATTACTGTGAAGATACTTGGGACCAAGTGTAGTTGGATCAGGAGTGGGACCCTATTTGGTTAGTGACCTAGTTCCTGGTTTCGGCTACCTTGTACTACCTGTATCACAGTTGGAGCAACGGAAACTGCTACTACTTCAATCACATTCCAGTGATGAATCCAACTCATCATCTTCCTCTGAACCAGTGGAGTTAGCATCACCAGATGCTCGCAGTGCTGATATACGCCTATCCTTTCCTACTGAGGATGTTCATTCTTTCACTGACCAGCTTATCAGAATGGCTTCTGCCCTTAAGCTCAGTATTCAAAAACCAGATGATCCAGTCACAGATTCTGTATTCAGAAGGGTATAAACCCAAACAACTACACCAGTGTTGCCTTCAGTACTATACCTAATTAGACAATCATGGGAGATTGCATTGTCATTTCCATCCACATCCAGAAAGATATATCATCTAGGCAGCGTACAAGGAAAGACATTTCCTATTCAAACACCTTACACAAACTCCATAATAGTGGATGTGATGCGAGGTAGATCCTGTAACAGACCACACTGCATGGGTAAATAAAAAGGGATGAAAGCTCAATGCTGTTGGCAAGAGGTTCCACTTATCTGTGATGCTGTAACTCTGCATTGGCATCTACACTGTATGTAAGAGAGCATATCAGCAATTCCTCTGCAAGAGAGTCACCCACCAAAATGACGTGCATTATTTAAACCTGAAGCCCCCACTCAGCTAACTCCTTGGTCAAAAAACACTTGCTAGTGTAATAGCTCTTGGAAGCCTTGGCTAGCTGCTTTCATCTGGACTCCTCCCAGATGTGAAGTTTATTGTTGAAAGTTTCACTTTTGACAAACACGATTTGTTCAACAAAAACAAAACTTAGACGTGATGATAAACTTTGCACCAGGGCAAAATATCTCAGCCTCAGTTCCTAGACCTCCACATCCACCCAATTCAAGAAGCAGTATATTGGACCAGCAATACTCAACCTTTTTTATTTATCTATTTATTTATTTATTTTGACCACTGCTTTCTCAGGTTCCAGGCCCCCCCCCCCGTCAAACAAGGAAAGCCTTTGGCTGTGTACAGACAAGGATACAACACAAATAGATGAATCTGTGGCCCCCTTCAAATGTGCCAGCACCCCCCAGGGGGCCATATTCCCCCACTGAGAATGGCTGTATTAGACCACTAACACACACGCATTTCAGATCCTCCAGACCACTGGTTCTTAACCTTGGGTTACTCAGGAGTTTTGGACTGCAACTCCCAGAAGCCTTCACCACCAACTGTGCTGGCTGGGGTTTCTGGGAGTTGTAGTTCAAAAACATCCAAGTAACAAAGGTTAAGAACCGCTGCTCCAGACAGTCTTCACAATTCTCCACGTGCCAGTCCTACACGTAAGGAAGATACAAAGATACACATCCTTGACACCTCTCATTCCTGGATTCATGCACACCTGAATGGAGGCCAACTTTCTCCAGCACTGGCACACAACCACTACAGGATTCCTTGGTCATTACTGTCATAGAACACAGCTATTCAGTAAAATTCCATACCATAACCCCCACAAGTTACACAAGCATGACCTTCAACTGAGCTTCAAGTAAAGAGCTTCACCCTCCTGTGCAGAGTTGCCATAAAGCGCATAGACCTCCACCAACTAACAAAGGGCTTCTACTCAAGATATTTCACTGTGCCAGATAAAGATGGCATTTTACACCCCATCCTAGACCTCCACTACTTCTTTCATCACCACCAAACATTGCAGTTCTGGCAGTAACATCAATGTCTCAGGACAGTAGTGAGCTGTGTGCCCTCAGAGTAGCCTCTCCATACCTTGTGTTCCAGAAAGACAAGGTCAAACTAAGGCTGGGCGTGACCGTCCTGCCAAGGTGGTCTCGTCTTTTCATATTTTGCAAGTTATTTTATTACCATCTTTCTCCCCCAATAATGCACCCTGTTAGAATGATCCCTGTCTGTGTTTGATGTCTGCAGAGCACCCGCCCTTTGCCTTGTTGTGCTGTGCCATTTCAATGTACCCAGTGGTCTCCTGGTTTGCTATGACTCTCACAAGAAAGACCTTCTGGTAGGACTGCAGAGAATGTCAAAACAAGTCTCTTCCACAATACAACCCTGTTACCAACATGCCCATTTATTCGTCCCTAGAACTATCAGAGCACAGCCCACTAGAGCAGCCCCAACTTCTACAGTGCCTCTGCCTCTTCCTGACATGCTGAGTTGCCATGTGGTTGCAACCATCTTCATTTGTGACTTACTATAAGGTAGAAGGTACAACACATCAGGACACAAGTTTTGGCCTAGCTGTTCTCTTTTCACTGCTCCAGCCACATCCATCGCTCCTCCCAGGTAAACTTACTAGTCTTCCATATGTGTGAGTCCATGGAGACCATGAGGAAGAAGGACAGGTGACCTACCTGGAACTGTGTTTCTTCAAGTGGTCATCTGTAGCACTCACACAACCCTATTTCCACACTCATGGATGTCCAATTGTTAATGAATCTTATGGATTCAGGACTAAGGGACTACAGGGAGCGTAGAGAGCATGTGCAATGGGTGCGTTGGGTGGGGCTCCTGCCACAACCCCTTTAATTTGTTCTGGAAAGTTCCGGAACATGCTGCGCAGGTGCAGAATATGCCAGATGTGCAAGTGCCACAGAGGACTTAAAGAAACAGAGTTGTAGGTAGGTAACCTGTCCTTCTGGCACCACAGATCACTGCAGGGTGTGGGCAAGAGAAAAGAAATCTCAGTTTGGAAGATGCTGGATATGGAATATTATGTGGCATCTTGGCCACTCCCTCTTCTCAGTCTCAATTCTTCCTAGCCATCCATACTTTCAGTTGGGTGGGTTTGATTTAAATCACCAGTTAGTAAAACTCTATTTGAACCATGGTTTTTTAATATAAAGATTCACACTTGTCGATTCTAAAAACCTTCATATTTACAAGACAAAAATTTTTATTTTCAGAATAATAACTTTTTAGGTTAATTTTACAGATACATCAGAAAATTGATGATTGGTTGTTTAACATTTGAAACAGGTGATTATTAAATAATTGTTGGTGAACTGTCTCCCGTTTAATAGGTTAATTGTTCATATTTGAACAATTTTTCTGCTGTACTTAGTTGGAAGGAGAAAAATAACCATTAACAGTAACCATTTAAATTGTTTTATTTAATTGAATTGCAAAACCAAGCATCTATGATGGTTTCTTAAAGTCAGAAAAGTTACCTGTAATAATTTTCCAGAAACCTGTGGGAGAGCATACATACTTGCTGTTATGAATTAATTAATAGAATTCATTTACAAAATATTTTAAACTTTTCATTTCATATACAGTCTCATACTACATGATTAAAAATTAATCCTTATTTCATCACGGAAAACCTTTCAGCTATAACGTACCTTAAATAGAAAACTGTCTTTAGGTAGAGTTTTCCTCAAAAGCCTCTTATCAGACAGAATCCAATTTAAATGAAAAATCCAATTTAAAACTTAAAAGTCCATTTTTATTTTAAAAATTATTCTCCCCCCCTGCTTTCTATCTTCTTGAAAATTTACTCTCTTCTTTTCCTCCCTTCTCTTTCCACGCCTTTTCTTTTTCCCATTCTAGTTTCTGTTCCTTCCTTCTCTTTCTTTCATACTCGTACTCCCAAGATGCTGACAAGCAGCTTAGCCTTCTTGCTTAAAGTGAGTTGAGACAGGCTCCCTAAGATACCTGGCAGGTATTTTCAACATTGAGAGTTGAGACAGGCTCCCTAAAGATACCTGGCAGGTATTTTCAACATTGATGGTATGCAGGTCAGTAGCTTCTCGTAACCAGTGCAGGCTTCCATGGCCATGATGAATTAGCCTGTGGACGTAGCACACACATCCATGCTGGCTGCTGTATGGGGATTGAAACATTTTTTGGCATTTGTTTCTCCCATCCTCCCTGCACCTGCCATTCTTCTAGAAGACTGGTTCCCAACCTTGGGTCACCCAAGTGTTCTTAGACTGCAACTCCCAGAAACCCTGGCCAGTACCATGGGTGGTGAAGGCTTCTGGTCATTGCAATCCAAGAACACATGGGTTACCCAAGGTTGAGAACAGCTGGTCTAGATCAGTGGTTCTCAGACTTGGGTCCTCAGATGTTGGACTGCAGTGATCAGAAACCCTGGCCAGCACAGCTCATGGTGAAGGCTTCTGGGTACAGATGGGCGTGCTCACTCAAAGGCAGTACCTGAAAGAGGCAGGGCTGAGAAGTGCCGAATATCTGTTCAGCTAATAAATGAACTCTCTAAAAGTATCTTGAAGTGCTGTTTTCATTGAAATGGTAGCACAACCTAATCTAATAATTACTTGACTCTTGACTTCTTTTTTCCCCTTTTTTAACTCATAACAGGGTTTGGGAAACAAACCAGAAATAATCATCAAGGGGCATGACAAAATCATTTCTGTCTCAAATCAGCGAAACGAGAGGGCCTCTTCACAAAGGTCACCTTCTCCTGAAACATCTGGGTTGGCAAGTAGGTAAAGTTTGCAACTCCTGAGTTCAGTCCAGATAAAAGGTACCAGATGTGATATTTGGAAGTACACTATGTTACACAAATGTGGCCAATTTTGTGAGACAGGGCCATGCTTCTCGGAGTAATAAGTCAAATGGGCTACTTGGTTATAGGACAAATTTTCTGGAACTGTGGAGAAATTCAATCAATGCAGTATTTATGTGCATGCAATTTATGCCCCATGACATGTGCAAGAAAGAAGGTCTAGCCAATGGCCAAGATAATACTATTGAGGTACCAGCCCACTACTAGTCAAAAATAGGATCATGATCCTAACATTTCAATTTGTTTTAATTTCATCTATATTTTATGTATATCCGTAATTTTAAATTGTGCAGTGTTCTGATAGAAAGAAAGAAAGAAAGAAAGAAAGAAAGACCGTTTCACTGGGAAAAAAATATGGAGATGCTGTGCTCCCTGGCCCTTGCTCTGCAGCACTTTGAAGTTGTACTGCTACAGATTCTTATACTGACGGAATGCAGCTTTTCAAATTCTATTTATATCTGTCAGGGAAAGGAATTTGGCAGCTCATCCCCTGCATGCCACCCAAGAAAGATCCCCAGGTGCAGATAACAGCAACTGTCAGAGTTTCCTCCCACTGGGAAAAAAAATATTATTATTTTCATCTCAAAACTGGACAATCACACCTTCAGGAGACTTCCAACAGGTGTTGTTTCTCTGTTTTGAGTTCCCATTTGCTTTCCTTTCTTTTCCCCAAGAACCATGTGAGGTAGCAAGGGTTTCATAAGGGTGGCCCCATGCTAATTGCATGGCATTAAAAACAGCAAAGCCTCTCACAACTTAAGCCATAACCAGTCTGTTATGCCTGTTGTGCAAGGTAGGTCTGTCTGAGGAATTCTTCTTTTGACCATTTCATGGTAAATCTGCTAATACATATATAAGGCAGAACAAAGTGCTGTTGCTTTCTCATGACAAATTAGGCCTACGAGATATTAAATGATCTCAGCCACCTCTGAGCAGTTTCATTCCATGAAGATCTGAACTGGGGTCTTCCAAGTTCAACAATCCATTCATAGCTCATGGTATATATAAGGCAGAACAAAGTGCTGTTGCTTTCTCATGACAAATTAGGCCTACGAGATATTAAATGATCTCAGCCACCTCTGAGCAGCTTTATTCCATGAAGATCTGAACTGAGGTCTTCCAAGTTCCAAGTTCAACAATCCATTCATAGCTCAATAGCCAGCTTTCTTTTGTATCATTCTGATACCACCAAATTTCCTTTCTTCAGCTTCTCAGATGTCACAGGATATTAATATTTTGGATATTGAAAATGTTCAAAGTAGCTGTATGTTTTTAGAAATCTCCTTTAGTTTCCCCCCCCACCACCATTTGGAGGGATAATTGTGAAACCGTACATCAAAGCAATTTTCTTCATTCAGATTTATTTATTTCCAAGTTTAATGGGCATAATTTGTATCTTCTGTGTTTTGTGTGTTTGCTTTGAAATACCATTTGTGAGTGGAGGGTAGAATCATATTAGACCACCACCACCATTTGGAGGGATAATTGTGGAAACCGTACATCAAAGCAATTTTCTTCATTCAGATTTATTTCTTTCCAAGTTTAATGGGCATAATTTGTATCTTCTGTGTTTTGTGTGTTTGCTTTGAAATACCATTTGTGAGTGGAGGGTAGAATCATATTAGAAGAGAGCATGCTCGTTAGTTTTCATGTTTCCACCTTTATCCTGACCCAGGAAAGGAAGTTGAGCAGATGTTCTCATTTTTAGAAATGCTTCAAGCTTTTGTGTAGCTTAATATTTGGAAAGCTCTGGAAATAGTCATAAAGAATAAGACCGTGCAGAAGCTGCTGATCCACTTCTGTTTATAGTGGATCATCAGCCTCTGTATGGTCTAATTCTGGGATAGAGATCTCCTCCAGAGAGCTTTTTAAACTGTTACTTAATGAGGACAGAATTTTTGCCTGCATGCATGCAAAACTTAAGAGTTTGCTGCTACTGGCCTTTGAGAACTCTCAGTGTTTCTGAATGCACACCCAGGAGGGAATTCCAGAGAGCTTTTTGAATTGTTGCTTATTGAGGACTGAATTTTTGCCTGCATGTATGCAAAACCTAAGAGTTTGCTGCTACTGGTCTAGAGGGGCGGGGTAAAAATCAAATAAATAAATAAATAAATAAAAAGATACTGGCCTTTGAGAAGAGAGAACTCTAAGTGTTTCTGAATGCACACCCAGGAGGGAATAGGCCGTACTGTAACGATGGACTGACTGAAGAACGAAACACAGGCTGACCTTTTCACAAATGGAAGAACCCTCTCAAATCTCTTCCGACTTAGACTCAAATGTGGTCATATCTTTAATGTCACATCCTAAGCATTTGTTGGTGAAAGTACATCTGATATTTAGCCTGGTAGTTGACAAACAGATACTGAAAGATAGAATGAGTCTTAATCATTTGCACCAGAGTTGACCCAGCACTTTCACTGAAGTCAGTGGGAACAATGCAGGTGTGCAAATATTCTTCTGCTGCACAGTAATTCACTGTGGCTCTTTTCCGAGATGTTTTGTTCCCTCTTATGATCCCCTTGACTTGATCTCTTTTATCAACTATGGGCTGGAGAGGTGGTCAAAGCGGGGCCTTCTCGGTGTTGTTTGCCTGCACCACTTCCATCCATGCAGACGTTCAACCACGTCTTCGGGGCTGCTTTTTACCCACACACGTTTCAAAAGAAAGACGGGTTGTGGGCTGGTCTTGAGAGGTACATCTCACTTCCTCTGTAGAGCCAGTGTTTGTCCATGCAGTGGCTCATTGGCAGTACAGTTCAACCACGCCTGCGTGGCTGCTTTTTACCCACACATGTTTTGAAAGAAAGACAGGTTGTGGGGTGGTCTTAAGAGGTGCATCTCACTTCCTCTGTAGAGCCAGTGTTTCTCTTGCCTCCAGAGCAAATGAGACTAATGATGTGTGATGAATAAGTAGAATGCTCAAGCGTTTCTGTTAATCCACCTCCGCACCCAAGCCTGCCCCACCAAATTTACCATATACTGTAAATTATAAACATAACAACAAATGCCTGTGAAGATATAGGTGTTGTTCATTTTAAAAAAAGTGGAGTTTTGTGTTGTCGTGAGACTTTGATTCCTTGTTAGGGTAAGATATGAAAGATTGGGAACTACTCCTAGGTTATTTCATTTTGGAAATTAAACACTGACAATAAGCCGCTTGGGAATCTTTCCTTTTTCGCTTTGTGGCAGGTGTCCAGGTTGACGTAGAATCATTCTACAGTAGCCTTTGTTTGCCTCAGTATCTCTAAATGTCTGTGGAGTGCTCACCATTTTTGATCCATTTTGTGAAAATAAGATGCTCCTGAAACTAAAGACACACTATGGAAATAAATCTGGGAACATGTTTACATTCTTGGTGGAGTTTGTAACTTAAGGCATTTAAGTCAGTTTGTAATGGATTTAAAAATGGATTTTTGAACATGAATAACCATCCCTACTTAATAGTTTGAATTTTAGCCTTCCCCTTTATCTTCATATTAAAGCTAGTCTTTTCCTGAACTTGGAACTTCCCCCTGAAACGCTGAGATGTATTGCCTGCAGACAGAAAACCAGCTGGCAGGTTAAAATCTGTGCACTCACAGTTTGAAGAAATAAGGACTTTGCTCTTGAACATTGTTCCTCATTGAGGGGTAAGAGAGAGAAGGACCCCTGTAATGGAAACCATTCTCTTCCCTCAGGTTCTGTAGAAAAGAAGCAACAGAGAAGATCAATACGAACACGCTCGGAGTCTGAGAAATCCACTGAAGTTGTGCCAAAGAAGAAGATCAAAAAGGAGCAGGTTGGCTTCCTCCATGTAGAGAGTTAAAATATGCTGTATTCATATTTGTCGTGGCTTTTATATTGATGCCTCTTCTTTTATTTTAATTTTTCCCTGCCCGCCCACCCCTCCATTTTTCTTGTTGGGTTTGCTTTTGGATTATCCTCCCAAGATCTGCCTCCCCTCAGTAAACTTTGTTGTTCACTAGGATCACGTTACAGCATCCGTCTTATTTGGATAAACGGGAACACAGTTACACATGACCCTCCTCATGAAGCCAATTTTTTTTTCTTTTTGCTGTTTCTGTTACGAGCAGAGTGGTTTTTTTTATGTTTTAGTGTTTTCTCCAGACATGCTATTGGCATCCTTCTTGTCTTATCTTTGGTTTAGTTGCTGGTTTGTAACTGAGGTTTAGTTTTTGCTTTTTGTTTTCTCCAACACAGAGAGAGGTAGAATTCGTTGGTTGCTCTTCGGAATTGACTCATAAGCTTGAACTTTTTAAAGGCAATAAGCCTTCTGTGTTAACCATAAGCAGGAAGAGTAGAACCAACATGAACAAGGGGGGGGAGAACCTTTTGAACATGCATCTTTTAGAAAAGCAGACGTTGCTTTTTTTGAAGGGCCCAGTTGCAAGTGAAGAAGAATGGGCAGGCTGCCTAGTGGTGCCATCCATGCATTCTGTGGATTTCATAGGTTTCAAGAAGGTTGTCACCAAGGCTTCTCTTCTTTCAACAATTCCAGTATGTTCCTAGTCATACACGTAACAGGGATTCATTTTGAAACCTAAACACTGTGTAATAAACATTCCCTAGCATGGTTATTTCAAGAGCCAAGTTGTGCTGGAAGAGTTAAGTTCCTTCGAAACGGAGTTGACACTTCTCATAAACCTTGAGTGTGCTGCCCGGGATGTCTTGTTAGGAAGCTGAAAGTATGCTCATCACTCTTCCGCTGAAGTATTTGTCCTGGTAAAATAATGTTTAGCTCTTGCTCTGCTGCCCCTGCTCAATAGTTTATGTGTTTGGGTTCCAGAAGGATGGTGTTAAAAGAACAGACATCAGCACAACATTTTTTTCTAAGATTAAGTATTGAATATTTGAAAGTAGCACACACAGAGAGTTATCTATATTTTTTAAACTTTTAGGCATTGTTGAAATTTCCCCTTCTCAAGATACATTTGTAGTCATCTATATACTTTCAATTAATCATGGTTCAAAGAGACACGTGTCACCGTTTCCCAAGTAGTCTTGCTTGCTTTATACTATGTAGGCTAATTTTGAAAACATAGTATATTGTACATAAGTTTCTTCAGGAACAGCACATGGCAGGAAAGCTTAATGGTCAGAGATGCACTGTAATGCATAAGCTTGCGTATGTTGTATGTTCAGAAAGGCACACTGATATTTTAGCGTTCTGCAGCCATGTTTGTTTCCCACAGTCAAGCTTTGTTTCAGTGAATTTCCAAATTGATTCTGCATCCTTTTGGTTTTAAAATTATAACTGGAATTTTAATTACAAATGAGAGAGACAATGTTAATTCTGTTGCAGTGAGTGGTAGCAAAATACAAGTGATTGTCTAGATTTTATATTTGTATTATCAATTGTAACCTCTTCAAATCCTTCTATTGTATGTTTTTATCCATTGTATAATGAAATAAAATATTTTTAAAAAATTATAGAATAATCCTTAATAAATATCTACGAGACGTGTTTCTTACATGCCTATGTAACCACACTGTGGAGAATTTTCTTTTTATAAATATATAGATATTTAAATATATATAATTTTTTTTTTCAAATTACGGTTTTTAGCTTAAAAGGAAAGATCTTAGAAAGGAGCTGCTTGCAACTGTCAAAATTCACAACTTGGGTGTACTCTGACAGGAAGCCGCCTTCCAAAGTAGGATCCGAGCCACTGATCACGAGGGCCACGAAGTGCTTTCGCAAGGTCACCAGCTTGTCTATCCGAGCACTGCACCAACGGTTGAGTTTCCCGCTGTATAGAGGCCTGCAACGCACATTCTCTCCCTCCGCACCCCTCCTGCTCTTGCAGCACTCTATACAGAGGAACCGTCCATGGCCTCCGAAGCTCAAGCGCTTGCTGGGTGGAAGTGCCTTTTAAAAAACGGGGGCAGTAAGTTAAGTGTCACGTGGAACTTGAGTGTCCTCCCTCTCTTCTCTTTTCCTTAGCTATTTGTGAGGTTGCTCTGTAGCCCAGGGCGTAGCTGCTAAAATCTCTCGCCTGCTTCCTGGACCAAAGATAAAGCCATCCCGTCACTTAATATGCAAAGGGAATGACACGAAGTAAACACAGACCTGCCTTGTCACCTGGTTCAGGCAAGACAGCCTCAATCAAGTCTATAGCGGTGGAAACGAATCATTTAGCTGGGGTGGGGGGTGGAGGAGCAGGCTGAGACCACGAGTTCCCTCTATGTTAATTGCTTGCGTTGAAATTTCATTTCCTCTTTTGTATTAGGGAACAGGAAATTCCTCTATTAACTACTTATTTTCCTGTCCAAACAGGTAGAAACTGTCCCACAGACAGCAGTGAAGACTGGATTGCAGAAAGGTATGCCTTTTGTATCGTGTAAAATGTGTATGAAGCCAGTCCCTGTTAGACTTCCCAGCCTCGCATCTGGCAACTGCATGTGTATCAATGTAGGATTCGGCCTCCACTACCATCCTTCCTCTCGTCGTCTTTTCTTTCTCATCATGCTACTGCATTATCGGCTTGTGTGGTTGCTGGGAAGATTGGACTAGGATCCAAAGATTTTATTTCAGTCTTAAGCTATTGAGTCTCCTGCAAACGGCACAGACAAAAGCATTTGCTAGCTGGCCTGTTTTCCTACTATTCGCCAACCGAAAAAGTCAAATTAAATAGGAATGAACAAGGATTCCTACACACATGGACTTAAACAGCAAACATTTCAGGCTCTTTTCCAGTATTCCTGGGGAAAAACACCAGGGCAACCCATTTAATCTCCAGCAGCAGTTCATGAAATGTGCCAGAGTGTTTCTTGTGTGGGGTTTAGCTTTTGATAGGAAAGATGCCCCTGCTTCTCTGTGCCTTGGAAGGTTTGGAGCTAATGTCTTCCAGACACTCAACTTCTATACAGCCTGTCAGACTGCTTTAGAAATTACGGACTGGCTTCAGCAATTGGTTGTCTGCTGTGCAGATCTTAGTTCGGAGGTCAGGTGGTGGCCTTGCTTATTTGGTCGTCAGAAATTCTGCTTGCTTTAAGGACACTTAAAGTAGCCCTTCACAATCTAGCCTCTGTCTCAGTCCTCTGTCCAGGTTACACTCTGGGCTGGAAAAGGCAGGGAAGAGACCTTTATCCCCACCGGACATCTAGTCATTGAAGCAGAGTATGTCCTTGGTCTTCTTCAAGCTGCTGTAATAATTTGCAATTCGGGTGTGTGTACAGAAGGATGTTAAAATGCACGTGTCCTTGATTATGTGCATGCTTGGTACTCAATGCTTCTGGATATGCCCTTTGTATATGAGGACCCATACATTTAAAACAAACAAAAACAAAAAAACAAAAGCCCCTCAAAACTTCCAAGCTTCATCTCTTGCTGTATTTACACACCCTACAGAAACCATTTTTGCCAGTGTATAACATAACGTTCCCTTTTAATTGTTTTGTAGTTGCCTTTCGAGGCTAATAGGGTAAGCAGCCATGCAGAGTTATCATTCCGGAAAGCGGGGTATGGTGGGTGAAATAAATGCCATAGGTCACCTCTCTAGAGGCTAAGCAATGGTCGGAGAGAAGCAGCTTGTTCAGGATTGTTGATTTGCTTTTAACGGAGCCTGACGTTTTGCCAGTTCCTGCATATACGCCTCTCCCCTCCACCTTCATCTTTTCTTCAGTGATAAATATTCTTGAGAGACCACTAAGATTAATGCAAGGTTGTTGTATTGAAAGGTGCCAGTGAGATTTCAGATTCTTGTAAGCCCCTAAAGAAAAGAAGCCGTGCATCAACAGATGTGGACCTCACTAGCTCAGCATACAGAGATACCTCTGATTCTGATTCAAGGGGACTTAATGATCTACAGGTAAGCTAACCTTTTTTTAATGGGCTGCAGCTTTTAAGCGGTCAGGTAACTGATGGTAGTGTCACCTGATTACTGTTGAATAACAAAGATTTTCCAGTATTTGGAAAATAAGAAAAATGGAGGTAGAACATTGATTGAAAGCAAGAGTAAGGCTTGTAAAAAAATACGAAAACATCTTCTTGCAGAATTTCGGTTTCCTAAGAATCTCAGTTTTCTGCATTTCTAAAGCCCGGTGCCTTAGCATGTGATCTATTTTGTCCTCTTCTCATCTGGTCTAGCCTAGTCTAAATATTTGTCCCACCCCCTCTTCCCCAGCCAACAAAATAAACCTTGCAGAATGGCTGAAGTCCTGTTACTTAGTGTAGTAAATCGCACTAGAGTAGGCGGATTGAATCAGTGGGGATTTGATGAGTCGTCTCCTGTATAAGTTTCTTTGATTCAAGTAGGCCGACTCTAGTTGTGACTTCCTTTAGCCTAGTAAGCCACAACTAGAGTAGACCAATTTGAATCAAAGGGACTTGAGAAGGAGTCCAGTGACCAAATCTCCCGATTCAGTAGTTTGACTTACTGTGCTAAGCAGTAGGAATTCAGCTAACATATTTGCATAATTTATATGTTGTAGAATTCAACTTTTTAAATCGCCTTTGAGTCACCTTGCTTGCAGATCTGCTTTTCTAAGCACAGACTGTCTCCTTGATGCCCTTTTGCACAGTGTACTATGAGACCTTTTCTCTTTTTGCACAAAGGTGGTTTTTAAAGAACACCTGCAAAGAGCAGAATGTATTTTCTTGAAATGAAAACTAGAAGGTTTCTTGGAAAATTCAATAGGCCTTGTATAATCATGGGTTTCTTTCCTGGTCAGTGGTGTTTGTATTGATATTTGCTTGTAGTTGACCTTTTTAAAAGCTAGCAATATGAAAATTGGTTATGGATTTTCTCTTTTAGGGTAGCTTTGGGAAACAGTCGGACAGCCCTTCTGCTGCAGCAGACGCTGACGCTTCTGATGTACAGTCTGTGGACTCAAGTTTATCAAGAAGAGGTTCTGGGATAAGTAAGAGGGACACTGTTTGTCAGGTGAATGGAATCTGCTAAATAGATCCAGTATGCAGATCCGTCGGGGTGTGGGTCAAGGATCGAAGCCCAGATCTAAGTAGGCTGTTGCAGAAAATCAAAGCACTGTAGCTGTGAAGATGATTTGGTAGTCACAATTGGAAAGGCAGAAAGAGATTAGATGGTATATCAAAGATGGATGTTTGCCCCTGATAGTTAGGAGGTAATAAGCTAGTCAACATTTTTTTGGAAAATTTACACTCTGTGAGTCATGAATGAATGGTTGGCCTGTTGAAACAGCCTGCCGGATGGTTTTGAACAGACTTTTTTGGTCCTTTTTCCTATTCCAAAATCAAAGCAACGTGGGATGGGTGTGTTATATAAAGTTACACACTCTCTTAATAAGTGTTTTATTAATAAGCATTGTACAATTGCATATCAGAGTGACCCAAGTATTTCAGCATGTTGAAAAAAATTAAAGAGAAAAAAAGAAGGACAAAATACTGTGGCACTTTAGAGGCTAACAAATTTGTTTCAGTGTGACCTTTCATGGATCAAAATACTTCATCATGAATCCTTCCATCATGAGAGAGTAGGATTATTGTAGTAGTATCATTACTACTATGGGACGTGGTGGGACGTGGTGGCGCTGTGGGCTAAACCGCAGAAACCTGTGCTGCAGGGTCAGAAGACCAAGCAGTCGTAAGATCGAATCCACGCGACGGAGTGAGCGCCCGTTTGCTTGTCCCAGCTCCCGCCACCCTAGCGGTTCGAAACCATGCAAATGCGAGTAGATAAATAGGGACCATCTCGGTGGGAAGGTAACAGCGTTCCGTGTCTAAATCACACTGGCCATGTGACCACGGAGAGATTGTCTTCGGACAAACGCTGGCTCTATGGCTTGAAGAGCGGGATGAGCGCCGCCCCCTAGAGTCGGACACAACTGGACAAAAATTGTCAAGGGGAACCTTTACCTTTATCTTTACCTATCATTACATCCCATCAAAGATTAGTTTTCTAAGATGGTATAGAAGAAAGTATTCTGGTGCTCCATCCTAAAGGTGATACAAATGATATTTTTTTTAAAAAATCCCTAAGATCGTGGTCTTGTTCTCTGCCTTAAATGTATCAGGAAGAATGACCAACTGTTGACTTTTGATTCTTGACCTGTAAAATCTCCGGCAGTTGCTTCCTTCTCTCAAGTTCCTTATTTTCTTTTTTAAGATTTGTGAAAGCTCTGGTGACTCCCTGGTTTCCTGCGAAGGCGAGTGCTACAGAGTCTTCCATTTAGAATGCTTAGGGCTGAGCTCACAGCCCGAAGGGAAGTTCATCTGCCTGGAGTGCAAAAATGGTAAATGAGTCAAATTATCGGAAATTCAGAGGGTTGGATTGCAGGAAGATCATGCTTGCAACTTCATCACCTTGGTCTTCCTATCTTGAAGGCCTCACCAAGCAGTGTACAGTACAGTAGGGCCGCAGGATCTGCAGGCGATCAGTTCCCGGGCCGCTCCCCATGAATGCCAGAAAACTGGGAAGTATCAAACGCGATACATTACATTTCTGGCTCCCTCTAGTGGCTGGTTCTAGTAAATACCCCCTGGAAATGCATATAAATACGTACTTTAGGATGGGGTTGTTATTTAGTATTTTCAAGCAGCGGATAAGTGAATCAGCGGATACTGGTCCTTGGGATAGGGTGGTCCTACTGCATTGGCATCTTTCCCCATGCCCTTCTCTCTGTCACTTGTCTCTCGAAGTGCATTAAAATGTTCCATTTCCCAGCCTAGAGGTGACATGATGGTTCAGGCCGATTCTGTTATAGCATTACCTTGCCGAGTTCTCATTTCCCCTCTGAGTCCTACCTTTTCCTTCACGCTGAATAGTTTGCAAAAAATGGCATTGATGGCCCGTCAGTTTCCTCCGCCTCCAGAAGCTGGCAGGAATACACAGTGGGTTTCTCCTCTTGTCAGCGCTTCCTGAGCATCTCTGCAGTGACCTGGAACAACTGCTACCTGCCCACCTCCCTTTGTTCTGCAGCGGGGCTTTGAAGTTCAAGCTCACCTTTTCCTGTGTTTCTTTCCTTTTCTTTTTAATAGGGCAGCACACGTGCTTTTCCTGCAAGCTACCGGGCAAAGATGTGAAACGCTGCTCGGTCAGCGCCTGTGGAAAATTTTACCACGAAGCCTGTGTCCGGAAGTTCCCCACGGCTGTCTTTGAGTCCCGAGGATTCCGTTGCCCCCAACACAGCTGCACCGCCTGCTCTGTAGATAAGGATATTCACAAAGCCAGCAAAGGTACGTTTGGAGATGAGGTTGTCTGGAACTTTAAAACAGCCCACACTGAGATGTTCAAAATGCTTGATGGCGAAATGATAGCTTGCTGTAGTCGGGAAACAGGGAGTGAGAGTCCGGGGGGACTCTGCCAGGAGGAGGGCTCTTCCCAGCTGTAGTTAAAGAGGACCACACCAAAGCACCCCTAATAATGCCGAAGCAGGGACCCAGCTATGAGGCTTCCCCATGGTTGATACATTAGCCTGAAGGACATATTGTATTTTCTCAGCACTCTGGGAACAGCCTGTTGTCACTAGGGATCTGAAATAGAAGGTGCCTTGTGAGGAGGGAATGCCTTGAAAGAATCTGACAGTGAACTGACAGCTACAGGACATCTACAGTACAGAATTAAAGCTCTTTGATACCACTGTAACTGCTACGGCTCAGCCCCATGGAGTCCTAGGAGCTGCCTGCTACAGCGTTGTAGCACACATTTCTGGACTACAGACTGCAAGATCTCTAGCAGGGAATTTGGAGTATCTCACAAAATGACCTCTTCTAGGATTCCATATCTTGATCTATGGTAGTGGAAGTGATGTAGAACTTGTGTAGTGTAGGTGCACTCCTTTTTAGACAAACAGGCTGCTTTGAGCTGGTTCTTAAATCATGGCAGTGCAACGTAACATGGAAGGTGGGAGAAAGGAACATGGAAAATACAGACCATTGTGCAATAAATGTATGTTTGAAACTATCCTGAATTGCTTCGGTTGGACCACAGCAGTTAGAACAGAAAGTTGCTACAGAATAGTGCCATTCTTGTATACAGGAGAAAAATGCCTGTCTTTATATTGGTCCGCTCAAGCTACACTAATCTCAGGTTCTCATTATGTCTGCAAAATTCATAGTCAAGCCTGTTCACGGAAAGAGTTGACTACCGTTCCTGATTATTCCAAGGAGAGTAAGCTGCATCTGTCCTTAGAGACTTGCGCAGAAGAAGCCATGTAAAGCAACTTAAGCTGAGTGTTTTCACTTTATTTTCAGCTACCCCAAAGAGCTTTCAGCGAGAGCAGATGCTGCGTTGTATAAAGGAGGAAAGAAGACATGTGCAGCCCCAAGCAGTGTCATATTTTGCTTGGCTATGTGTCTCTTGTGTGTTTAAAAACAATTGGTGCACTCTGTAGAAGCAGAAATTACCGGCTTTCATTTAAAAGTATGGATAGTTGCAGCCTTGAGTTTAGAAATGTTCAGAGAGAATTCTGAGCTGGTTTTGGACAGCAGTCGTTGAAAAGGAGAAAGAAAGAGATGGTCCTTCAGATAGGGTTCAGCTCCAGTTTCTGCCGGTCCATGTTGGCATGGCCAGTGGTCAGAGATGTAGTTGTAGTCTAACAACATCTGGGGGGGGCACGGACTCCTGTAGAGGATATGAATCTGTAGCTAGAATTCTCAGAGATGAGAAAGAGGCTCAGGCATTAAGAACTTCGGCCAAGCAAGGTGGAAAGGAAGCAGCCCACAGTTTTGAACCTTGCTGGGATTAAGTTAAGGCCAAGAAAAGGCGAATGGGTCATCTGATCCCACTCTGCCTCCCTGCAGAGGCGGCAGTGGGCAACCTGCAAAGAAGAGCAGAGACATTTCATTTCCATCTACAGGAGGAAGAGATGTTTTGTCAAAAATGGTGCAGACACTTCCTTGCTTCCAGTTCCGTTAACTAGCATCCGGCATCTTAAAAGCCAGGCCACAGCTTCTTCCTTGATCCCATCACAACATAAGCAAAAAGGAACTGCCTGTCTTTTGGGAAACATGCCTTCCACTTTAAGAGCCCGTTCTTTGGCAATAGGTTAGTTTTAGAATGGCCATCATAAATTAATAACTAACTAAAATAGAATGCAAAGGCCCTGTGGTCATTGCTGTGCATATTCTATACCTTCAGGAATAATTTTGTGCCATTAAGTCAGTTCTGACGTGGTGACCCTTTTCAGGTGTTCTAAGTTTAGAGTACTCAGAAATACGGTTTACTATTCATTTCTTCTGGGGATGCTATATATATATTCTGTCGCACACAGCCAGTCTGAATCTTACAGATTAAGCCATTGAAACAAACACGTATAATTTATCAGTTTCCCCTTATGAAACAAACAAACAATTCTTAACCGATTGTGGTTTACTAGTCACAGGGATGGGAAAAGAGAGACACAGGACTGCAGACTAATTCTTGCCCCCTGAGATTCAGCAGGCATTGGTGAGCCCTCCAGCGCTGGAAGCCTTCAAGAGAAAATTGGGCCACCCTCTGTCAGATCTGTATTGATCTGACTTCCTGCATTGAGCAGGGGGTTGGACTTGATGGCCTTATAGCCCCCTTCTAACTCAATTATTCTATGGTTGCCCACATACTGTTCAAGATACGAGGGCTGCAAGTATGACTTGTTCACCTTCTCTCTTTAAGGAGATCAAGGTTCTTTCTTAAGCAGCGGGCACCTAGACCTGAACCCTGTTCTAGATCTCTTCTGCAGTGCTCTGGAATAGTTCCAGCATGGACAGGGCCTTTCCCTGTGGCCATTAGAATGATCCCCAGCATGTGTGTGAGATGGGAAGGAATGGTACTGCTCAGGACGCAGAAGCCAAATTGCTTTTGGGGAAAGCTGCAGTGTTCTTTTTCTGGATTTATTGAACTAAATCGAAACCGTGCTCTAAATGGACTGTCACATGGTGCATTTTATATTGAAACAGGTCGCATGGTGAGATGTTTGAGATGCCCCATTGCCTATCACGCGGGAGATGGCTGTATTGCTGCGGGAAGTTTGTTTGTGTCATCCCACATTCTCATCTGTAGTAACCATTCCAAAAGGAGCAATCACTCTTCATCAGCTGTAAATGTAGGCTTTTGTTTCGTTTGTGCAAGAGGTGAGCCCTGTTTCTTGTATTCCTGTGTTTATATTGTTGGTATTCAGTCCTT